ACTTTCGTTGCTGTCTGTTGCTGTACTAATCTCGCGTTGTTTTCACGTAGTCTATAATACATAGTACTAGTAGTGGCATGTGGTTGTATTTACGACCCGTGCGTTTATCTTCTCTAGCGACGATGCCTTTACTATGGACATGCTCAGTCCGGAGCTATAGCATCATGGCACGAGGCGCGTGTTGCATGAGGCGTTGCCATACACTCATCATCGTCTAACTACTACATACACACCCCCACCTACCATCGCATGCTGCTCTCTCTTCACGGTGCCGGAGCAAAGTACTTCACTTTATCTAACACCGAGTAGGAACAAGAATCGGACGCAGCTCGTAGATTCTTACGGGTGGTCTTCCGCTGGTAAAATGTCCAGGTATTGTCAAATAGGATCGGGGGAAATGGAAGCCCATGCCAGCTGTAACTAGATTCTGTGTGTGCGGGTCGACGTGATTTGGATTTATAACTCGTTTATTTTCAAGCAGTATTAACGGCGGATGGACTGGTTCCACTCTTGTACCAGTTTCCATCACCTTCTCTCGGCTGTTTTTTTTAGGTGTGAAATGTCAGTTTCTGTACAAATAATTAGAGAAAGGATCGTGGTGATAGAAGGAACACGAGTAGTTAGTGGGATGGGAACGACCAGCGTGATAAGGAGACATGTTGGCCATTGCGCAGTATGAGGGGTTTGGATAGATAGATAGCCGCATAGATAGATGACAGTACCAGGGAGGGACGAATGTGCAGTTGTCACCCTTTCCCCCAGCGACTTGTTTTTATCATCCTTATCTTCGTGAGATTGTCCGCATTCGATGCTTTCTGTTAGTGGATTTTCAACTTTTCCATTTAAAAAAAAAGCTTAACAAAATTAAATATGTAACCCAGAAAAATTTACCTAAAATCTGCAAATTCATCGAGTTTTTGGTGTGTGTGGTGGGGTGCACCTTGCACAAAAGATTAGTCTTCTAGATACAGTCCTGGATTTCTTGATACCTGGTAATGGTTATTTGTTTTAACCTTGATGTAATCTATTGCATGCCGGCATGACTCGTCAAAATTCACGAATTAACATCCGTCATTGTGGTGACAAAGCATTTTCTGCACGCTCGCAATAACGCCTGCTTGTTTCTGTAACCTTGACCTGTGGAGTTTTCCATCATGTCTGTTAATTACTAACTATGGGTTTAGCAATAGTGTGTACTACTTTCACAAACATGTATATATGTGACTTTAAAAAAAGTATTTTATATAGTCTTGGCATTAAAAACTTTATATCTCGAATGTTTAAGCGAAGTTTTCTATGCTTTTCTTTTAAAATTGGATTCTTATTCATTTAATTTCTGATTAATTTTCTTTTAATTTGTGCAATAGTATAAGCAGTGTTGGCAAACCACCGATGAAACTGATGGTAGTGGAGCGTTGTCAGCTCGTTGCCACGGTGACGCCGCAATCCTACGAATGCAAATGTCAATGAAGTTCGTTCTGTGTCGGCGTGTTAGAACCAGTGTAGTAAGGCTCTCGCTATCCCAGTTTAAGTTAGATAGCGAGAGCTCAGCACCGCGCACTGCAATATCGCGATCTCTAGCTGTTGTCACCAGCTTATACATCCTATAAGATAGTGCGTGTGTGTGTGCGTGCGTGCGTGCGTGCGTGCGTGCGTGCGTGTGTTGTGTAAATAGCGTGTGCGGTACGCGTGTGGCGGTACGCGTGTGTGTGTTTGCGCGCGTGCGTGTTGTGTAAATAGCGTGTGCGGTACGCGTGGGTGTGCGTGCGTGCGTGCGTGTTGTGTAAATAGCGTGTGCGGTACGCGTGTGTGCGCGTGCGTGCGTGCGTGTTCGGTACGCGTGGGTGTGCGTGCGTGCGTGCGTGTTGTGTAAATAGCGTGTTCGGTACGCGTGGGTGTGCGTGCGTGCGTGCGTGTTGTGTAAAATAGCGTGTTCGGTACGCGTGGGGTGTGCGTGCGTGCGTGTGTGTTGTGTAAAATA